GACTTCGAAGTGTGAATCGAAGCTTTTTCTTGCTGGAAAACATATGATCTCTCATGTTTCTCATCGGCAAAGGGGAGAAAATGGTGAAATAGCATGTGCTTGTATGCCTCAGAATCTTGCCTTGTAAAATAGCTGGAGTTGATTTTTCCTTTTGGCTAAACGCACCCCATACCATAACCGAACCAACACCAGATTGCCGCTTGGAAAATAATTCAGGCTCACGGTCCTGGTGGTGCCAATAGCATTGTCATCCATCTAGACCATCTAGACTGAACTTTTTCCATCACTGAATATAATCCCTCACCTATAAGCACATTTTTTCAGCAAATTCTAGCCGGTTGATAATAAGCTTTTGTTTGAGCATAGGGGCATTTTTCCGCTTCATGGACTTGAATTTCTTTGAGTCATGCATTGCGTGACGGATGCGTCGTGCTGTCACATCAACTCCAGTGGCCAATTTTATGCAAGTAGAGGCAGCGCCAGCTTTAGAAGCCTAGAAGCGGTTAATTTTGAGGTTAGTCTAGGGTGTTTTTTGGATCCGTAGTCGTCCGGATTAGCAAAAATTGACTGTACAACGGTTTTTTAGCGTTTAATTTCCTTTTCGATATCCCATTGCATGGCTTCTATCGCATTTCGCAAAGGCCGAAATCTGCGCCTTCTCGGCCTCTGTGAGTCTTGTCCCATTTGGCATCTCTTTTACTTCGAAAAAAATGTAAATGAGGACCTGAACTATACCAGAAGTACCCTAAATGGCAAAAATGAGGATATTCTTTATGTTGCTGTACTTTTTAACGTGAAAATGTTACTGAAAGATACTAAAATGCAGAAAAACTATCATGGTCTTATAACCATTTCCACCTAGGTTTTTCTAATTTTCGTCATTTCTTCTAATATATTTGAAAAAAATATTTTTTTTTTGCAAAGCGGTGGAACCGTTTCTAAACGCAGTTTAAACTCGTATAATTAGAATCCTGTATTTTTCGGCAAGAAAAGGTATTTAGAAAAAACTGGGTGGTCGTATAGCCATTTCCGCAACTGTAGAACAGAGGATGTTCGTTTCAAAAATCGGCAGACTTTATATTTGTTTTCCAAATGAAATGGACTTAACCTTATTTTTAAATCAATATTTGGTTTCGGGTCCAAACCACCTTGCTTTTTTTATAATGTTATGCAAATTTTCTCTCACTGATGGTTAAATTTTAGGTCAAAGCAATATCATGCCGCAATAGGTATCCTTTATGCGCACCTCACCTCAGAAGCACTATGTGGAGCCATAAGTATCCTGGATTCGCGCTCCAACAGCCCCGTTATATAGTGGTGCCTAAAGTATCCTGGATGCGCCCCTAAATATTGCGGCGCCATAAGTAAGCTGGATACGCACCCCTACAACTCTTATATATTTTTGGTGCCATAAGTAACCTGGATAAGCGCCCCAACAGGCCTTTTTTGTGGTGTCATATATGTATACTGGAAATTTAAAAGCGAAGAAAACACCACAAAAATTTAGCATATCTCTTTTGAAAACGTTTCGGAGACCAGCTCCATCGTCAGTTCGTTAAATCTAGAACACAGATAAATGCAGAAAATTAGTTTGGAGTTAATAAAAAAACACAGAAGTTAAAAACCTAAATTTACAGACAAAGGGCAGAATAATAAAGTGAGTACCTATCTATTCACAATTTCTAAAAATTTCACTATTCAGCCCAGTGACACGCTTTTATTGAAAAACTTGGCCAAAAATAAAGACTTGATCATATGTAAACCTGACAAGGGCAGAGGCGTTGTTTTGGTTGATCGTAGTCGATATAACAGTAGCCTTACTGCACTCATCACCGATCCTTCTAAATTTGTCGAAATTACCGATCGAATCTCTAAAACTGTTTTGAAAATCGAAGATAAAATCAATAGCTTTCTGCGAAAACTCAAGGACTCGTCTTCCTTCTCATCTGATACGTACTCTAAACTTTACGCCTCCGGTTCATGCCCTGGGATTTTATATGGCTTACCTAAAATTCATAAGTCTGATTTTGCCACAAAGTTTCAATTCCGACCAATTTTTGCCGCATATAATACCCCTAGTTTTAAACTAGCTAAATTTCTAGTTCCTGTCTTAAACTGCCTTACAACTAACCAGTATACAGTAGACAATTCTTATACTTTTGTTGACCTCTTGAAAAATTGTACTGATGTTCAGGGCTTAACAATGGCCTCTTTTGACGTAGAAAATTTATTTACAAATATACCGCTTTTTGAAACTATAGAGATCTGTCTAAGTACTCTGTTTAAGGATATTCATGATACTGTTATTGGTTTGAACCGCAATTATTTTAAATCCCTGCTGGAGTTATCAGTTCTAAATTCGATTTTCATATTTGCTGGTAAATTTTACAAACAGATTGACGGTTTGGGCATGGGTCTTCCCCTCGGCCCAACCTTTGCGAATATTTTTATGTGTTTTCATGAGGTTTCATGGCTGACCAATTGTCCTCCTGATTTTAATCCAATTTTTTTATAACAGATACGTCGATGACACCTTTCTTATTTTCAAGCATCCTTCTCATGTAAAACTTTTCTTTGATTACCTAAACTTGCAACATAATTCTATTAAATTTACCATGGAACTTGAATCGAACAATAGTTTGTCCTTTCAAACATCTATTTACAGAAAACCAACTTTCACCGGCCTAAGCACCAGCTTTTTAAGTTTTTGTTCTTTTAGATTCAAGTTAAACGGGCTTCAAACACTATTACACCGCGGCTTCCGTATATGCTCGACTTTCCATTCCATGCATTCTGAATTTGAATTTTCGCGCAATATCTTTTCGCTTAATGGATTTCCTTCCGGCTTGGTGTTTACCCAGATTAAGAAATTCATGTCCATGCGATAGAGTGAAGTTGTTCCAGAGCCTGATAGTAGAAGCGTTGTTTACTGTTCTCTTCCATACTTCGGCCATGCGTCCGAAGTTATGTCAAGAGAATTAAAAGTTTTGTTTATGAAATACTTCCCGGACATTATTCTTCGTATCTTACTGGTGAATGATTTCAAAATAGGTTCGTTTTTTAGGTACAAAGATATCCTTCCTTCTCATATGCGATCGTCACTAGTTTATAAATTTAGTTGTTTACGATGTGCATCTGCGTACATTGGGATGACGGCAAGCAACTTTTACACTAGGGTCGCTGAGCATAGAGGAAGGAGTTATAGGACTGGGCACTTACTATCGCGCCCTCCTCATTCGGCTGTGCGCACTCACGCCGAACAGTGTAACGTTCCAGTGTCCGACACAGACTTTACGGTTTTAGCTTATAGTTCTGCTTCTTCCGATTTGCGTATTTTGGAATCATTGTATATTTTTAAAGAGAAGCCTAGTTTAAATGCTGCCTATAGTTCTTATCCATTAGAAATTGTGAATAGATAGGTACTTACATTATTATTCTGCCCTTTGTCTGTAAATTTAGGTTTTTAAACTTCTGTGTTTTTTTATTAACTCCAAACTAATTTTCTGCATTTATCTGTGTTCTAGATTTATCGAACTGACGATGGAGCTGGTCTCCGAAACGTTTTCAAAAGAGATATGCTAAATTTTTGTGGTGTTTTCTTCGCTTTTAAATTTCTAGTGAATCTGCGATTAAAGCAATCTAGTGACTTTTTTATGTGTATACTGGATATGACAGGTATCCCCCATATGACAATATCTCCCATAGCTCCTATATATTTTTGGTGCCAGGCTTACAACACACACACAAACTTTGAAAAATATTTATATATTTTTGTATAAATGATAGTGATAAGAAATGTAAGGTTAATAAGTCCCATTGAGGACGCACTGCGCAATATTTATTGACATGTCATTTGGTAACACATTAAAATCAACACAAGCATTCAAATCATGAAAACTATTTGCATTCCTGCAATATTATATTTTCATCGCAGATTTGCCTGTCGTGACTTTTGGTAACAGTTGTAGTAGGTGACTTAACGGAAGTGAACTAATGGCAGAAATGCTCGATTTTAAATTTAGTAATTAGAGGAGGTCGAAGATCTATATCACTCATCACACAAAACGAACAAAATTATTGGTTCAGCGCATGACGACGATCGTGAAATTCGACAAAATATCAGTAACCACATATGATTGTAAAATGGTATTAGTGTTTAGGACAGACTTGGGAAAGCATAATAAGTATAATTATAGTTATTATCGCATAAATTTGTTGAATTTATTGCAATCGAACAACTTACAGGCTGAAAATAAAGCTAGAATTTAATTACCTACCGATTAACGATACGCGTTGGGGTTTAAAAAAGAATTGTAAAGAAAGAATGATGCTGATAAGAACGGATGAGCAAGAATGCCTCAGTCAATTATTGTTTTAAACGAACTGCAAATTCTTATATTCTCAGTTGTTCCGAAAATTCGATGGTCTTAATGAAAAAGAAATAAATTTTCAAAGGTGAAGTTCAAAAAGGATCACTACTACAATAACTAATTTTTAAATCTTAGCGTATGCAAATGGCATAATACTATCAAAAACACTCAGTTGTTCGCTCGATTGTAAGATTCACTTCAAATGGTCATTCTGTCAGGTAAGGCATTTGTGATGCACAATTCATTCCTGCACAATGAACAGATTCATTCCTGAATTTTGGTCAGAGGATGTCATTGCTGATTTGAAAATATCAATTGGCTCCATTGATGAACGATGAATTAGATTCGTATTATGTGGTCAGAACTTAATCACTTAGTGACGGATCCAAATTACTTTGTTTGACCTTCTGCCAAATCAGCCGAAAAAACTTTCGAGAAATTTATGCTGGTCTAACAGACAGGAATAAGAACAAACAAAATTGTTATATATTATTTGTACAAAATGCTACGCTGATCTTAGAATTTTTTGCATTTTTGTTTAAGATTTTGAGATGATTCAATGTCACACAAACCGAAATAACTTAGCATGCAGACAAAGCAAAAAAGTGAGTAAAATCTTGATAGGCCTTGATAGACGAAGAAATTTTTCACCTCAGCTCGTGCAATCGATGGGTTGCATCAAAGCATGGGATATGTTTGTTTGAGATATAAAAAAATTCAGCAATGCACCATCATTGGTGGTGTATGGTCGTTTAATACGTTTATATTAAGTTACGCTTAGGCAAGTTTGTTTCATTACGGCAACATTATCATTGATTCCTTGAAACATCAGAACTTCGATACAAAATATACGAAGTAAATTTATATTAGGTAAGGTAATTTACATCAACTTCACATATAGGATTGTGTTCAAATATGAAGAAGCTTCGAAGGGGAGTTTTACTAATGAATTTCTTGGGCAAGTTTTACTAATATCAATTTGCTTGTCAGTTGATTGGACTAAAATCACTTAATGCAATTAAGTGAGTTCCAGTACGGCGTTCCGTCAGCGTATGCAATGGCTTAAGTATTTTAAAGTTTTTTATCTTCATGCAATTTAGAAACGTTACAAAGACGCAGTAATATGAAATTATCGGTTGTGTTAAAAAATAGTGGAATAACACCGATGGAATTTATTGTTTGAAATTTTCTTAGATTGGAATTGTGAAATAGTCGGGATTGATGGGCAGAATTATATAAGTTTTAAAATGACAATTTTTAGATTGTAAGAGGAACTCAGTCGCGTAAGGAGTGACCTCTCTCATGCATTCACTCACCTTTTCAAGTTGCTCTTTGACTTCATGAACAACCGGAAACAGTTCACTGCTGGCTGCGTATTGGTTTTCTCTGAGGTAGGCTGCGACGGCGTCACGTTTGTATGCCAAGTGTTGCTTCGAAAGAAGGGTGGTCTCGTATGATTTTTCATCGGGGTTGACAATAGAATTCATGGCATTTTTGTAGACTTCAAGAGCAATATTACGAGCTCCATTACTGCATACGCGTGCCGTCATCTGAAAAATTTTTAGCAAAAAACATCAACAAACCGAAATTTTCTTACGTTAATCTTGCAGTTAGGTTGAGTTTAATGTTTTGCTTCGTGGGCCTATCTATAAGTGAAACATTGTAGAACATAACGAATAATAATCAGGAACATAACTAGAAAGGATAATTTGCAATGATCTCTGACGACAAATAATAATGAATATGAGTAAAATCGGGCTTTTAGTGGTATGGTATCAACTCCTCTGAAACTATAATTATCTTAATTCATACTTTAAAATACGTTAAGTCACAAAAACAAATAAAAAATGAAACAGAGAGACTGCAAAATCGTGTACATTTCAGGGTATTTCAGATTGAAGTGCATGAATGTACATTAGCAATCTTATTGTAACTTTTCCTATCTCAAAACCTCAGCCAGACTGGTGGGTTCCACCAGCTTTCCCTCCCTGAAGACCGCCATGTAGGTCTTGATGAAGTCCACCAGCTCTTCCCCGGTGGCGGGCTGTCCCCGCCGCGCCGCTGAACGCTTCACCACGAGGCGCTCAGGCGCCAGCAGACGAGGCACCAGCAGCTTTATGTGCTCAACGAATTGTGGGCTCAGTTCTGTTCAGAAATTATCAAAAATTTTATAAAAACTTCTTACATATCACTTAAGTGAGATGTCAGTTTTAACGCTCACATGGGTGGTTGCGTGTTACAATTTTTTAAATGTCAAATTCGGGCAGCGGTTGCCACATGAAATTAAGAAATTTATGTAATTTATTTGATAATTTCCGAATAATTGATTTTAAGTGCAGGAAGACCCGTTCGCACCAACGCTTAACATGGAACTCACATTCAATTTCAGTTCTATGCATGAGATACGTTATTTGTAAAAACACTTGAAGTGTCCAAGGCTCATGACTGCAACTCAAGCTTCTCGAATGTTACACAATATCCAAGTAACAGATCCATGATATCTAATAGCAACATTAGGTCCTGCAGAGGGCGCTTACGATTTGGTCGACCATCAAAATTGGAGTCTTCGGCCGCGCCGAGGCCGATGTGCGGCATGAGGTAGCACTCCAGCTTTTCAAAACTCTGACGGAGGCCTTGTCTCATCAACCTCTGGTGGGTCGACGCCTGCATCGGCTTCTCCGCCTTTTCCTTTGCGGGAAATTTGAAGAACATCAACCGTACACAGCAGTCTGCTATATTATATTTTATTTCAGGGCATGTTAGGGAGGGATTACCATCAAAATAAGAATTGAAAAGCCACAGTCATAAAGTGTTATCGATATAGCCGATGATTCAATGCGATACGAGTATATGTTAGAGGCAGAACTACGCCAATGCCTATATTTTATCACGAATGTACAGCTGCTGCAACTGATTTGAAGACCCATTGGAGGTAGCACACATCATCAGTCTTATATGAATTTTTTAATAGGAAGGCTGTGTCAAGTGTTCAACTTGTTCGATATCGGAGAAACGGATGATTTCGCATGTACACATAATAGAAGAAGACTAATGCTCTCTCACCCTGCCAATAACGAAGATTTTTCAACTGCCTTAACTGACATCCTCATCCTTTTGTCTATGGATAGAATAAGTTAACACAATCGCATCAAAAGTCCTGGAAACGCGGGTTACCTCTTGTAGACTGAATTTGAAGGGCTGAATTTGTACATACCATTAATTATTCGCATGTAAATATGTAAATCAATTATTCATATATTTATTCTTCGTGGAAATCTGAACAACTTCAGGTAAGTTGTTCAGAACAACTTGCAACCTATATTGAGAACAACTCACCCCTAGCTGGCCTAGCACTTTCTCCAGTACAACTTGACCGCCTTCGTGGCCACATGGATGCTGCCGAGGAAAACTCCAGTCGCGCACCAGGAATAATAGGTTCTGAAATGTTCAAAAGTTTTAAACAATTTCTGTACGTAAATTCGCGCATGCGTTCTAACTACCTTCAATGAAAGGTGTCTAATAACTTCAAAAGACGCTATTTTTAATAATCTATAATTTGAAACGGGAAGATCCAATTGTTCAATGAGTTTTTATTGCTTCAGAATAATATATAATATGTAAGTTTGTAATTTGCAATCCAACGTTGGAAGCAAACTCCACTGAATGAGTTTCAGTCAGAATGTACCCAATGAGTCAGTGAGAAATTATAAAACAAAGGATTCATCAGTGAAACAAATGATGGAGTCAGAAATTAATAAAATTAACTTGGAATCGTTCATGGTATTTCTGCTCAGAAATAGATCTATTGGTCTGTTAACAGTAAGGATCCTGGTAGATGCCGTGTACTATTGGTAGTAAAGTATATATTCTGTTGGCCGAAGAGCTGCATTTTCGTCGGTAACATCAACAGTGCCCAGGGAAGCTCGAAGGCATGGAGGTTGTCTATACTATGTATAACCACATAATTACTTGCTATCAGAACAGTTCAAATGACAGGTCATGCATGCAATACTTCTTGAAAAATTCACGCTTCTATTGTTTCTAATTATTATTGTAATACTTGAAATGTGCATATCTGTACCTGGAATGCGCGCGACTCTTTGATCTCCTTCTGCGCCGAGGCTCCGTAGGTGCTGAACGTCTGCAGGTTAGTGAGGTCGTCCTCGCGGATGTTGTTCATGAGGTTGTACACTGTCACGGAGGAGGTCAACAGCGTCAGGGCGAAGATATACGTCGAATCCTGGAGAAAAATAAATTTTAGAAGAGGCCATAGCCATTACAATAAGAAAAGACAGTGTAAGCGATCTTTATCTGCGCTTTCGAATAAGTTAGTCCAATGAAGGCTCATGATACTTCTTTTCACGAAAAAAAAAACTTGAAATCAACTTCCGTGTTTTACTTAAGTGCAGTAGACTATAGACGAAAGAGCTTGCAATGCGTAAGAAAATGGTTAGATGAACTTTCCATAAACTCTTTAAGACAATTATTAAGGGTTCTATTGCAAAAAATTCTGTTCTGCGTTGTATACAAACTAACTTTTGATATGATTTGTCTTTTGGCTCCTGGATGACATATTTCCCTGTAAAAGTTAATAGCTTTTGTTGGAATGAGCTCGTCGAAGAAAGTCTTGTTTAAAGAGACTCGGTAACGATCAGTAAAGCGTTTAATTAAAATATTTGCTTCAGAATGAAATGTTCCTTCAACCTAACTGATACATAGGCTTTTTAAATCGATTTCTGGGTGGGCCGCGAGTGCGGAACACACCAATTCCAGCTGATCGCGTCACTTGCCCGATCAACAGAGGCAAAGAAGGACGACGATATAGAACTAATTTGCTGTATTGTAACAGAGGCAAAGAAGGACGACGCTATAGAACTAATTTGCTGTATTGTATATTTAAATTATTCAGAATTAAACTTAATGGTCGCCTTTTAATCAGAATGTGCCTATAAATGTAAGTGCAGTCTTTAATGACGAATTGAAAAGGGAACACTTCAAAAAAGATCTCCATTGTTCTTCATATTAGGGTGTCACTAAATTTCCTCGTGAGCCCAAAGACCATTATGTTGCGGACTAAAAATTAACCCTCGCGAGGACAAAAAGTTCATATCCGTAGTATTTTATCATCCCCGTGGGAAATAGAGTTTATCAAAAATAAATTGTTGTCGATATGTTAAATACACAGTTGTTTCTCCAAATAACCTTAGATAACTCATAAAAAATAGTTTAAACTAACGAAAGAAGATAGTTATATATAAGGAAGACAGAAAATCACTGTTGATTGTAGATACGGGCCCAATGGACATACCCGCAGCGAAGTCTGGGTGTCGAACGTGCCCTGAGTATCCATGAGAATAACTGCCACCTGCAAACAACAGATAATTAGTTGTCTCTTCACCTTCTCTATTTAGAGTACGTATGTACTCTAACGAAGAAAATTTAAATAATGTGAACATTTTTCAACGAGTCAGTTGGACAAAGAGAGACTACGAGTATTTCGTAAAACACACTAGCTCGCTGCTCAATGATCCTGGAGTGCGCCAAAACATTTCACGTTAAAAGCATACCGTATTCAGCTTCCGAATAGATGCTGATTGCTCGTTGATGGATAGTCCGATATTTAGATTTGTGAAACAAGTCTTTCGACAAAATGTAGTTGTTTCTAGGATAACACAGGAAAACGTTTTAAAAGTTTACCTTTATGATATGATAGTTATGATAGAACGTTATGATAGAAACAGCGGTCGATGGTAATTCTTAAGAGTACACATTCCATCCTATAAGATTGAACTCACTTTTTTGCCGCTTGATTTAGCGTAGATAGTAAAAGGTTTGCTCCAGATGTAAATGCCGGCGGTCTGCCCCTCCATGCCACTGCTCCAGACAAAACCGTCCAGCGGTTGCGACGGATCACCCAGCCAGTTCGGTGAGCCCTGAGCAACGTAGGATCAGCGTAAGTCAAGCTGAGTGAAACTTAATTGGAAGGAAATTTATAAGAGATTTTTTGCGGGCTGCAATTTGCTGACACGAGGTTTCACATAACTAAAACATTTGCTTCAACGTTTGTCTTAAGTATCGCCCAATAATTAGATGAATGCAATTATTGAAAGGGTGCATCTGAAATGTTTCATCACACAAGTTCTGTTTCGCCTATAAAGTTTTATGACTAAATTAACTATTGGAGCCTCACCTCATTGACGCAGTACTTCACAAGGAAGTTCAGAAGGAAGCTCTTGCCGGTCCTGAACGCCCCCGCCACCGCCACCACACAGACGGGTTTGTCGCCGACTTCAGGACGCAGCAGGACGCCCCGCAGGGCTTCCTCGTCCAGCTCGAACTCTCGAGTCTCTTTGTTCTGAACAACGATAGGTACAGGATGGCCGGACATGATTACGCCGGTGATAATGAATTTAATGAATACAGTTTCTTAACTCCAGGAATGTTTAGCAAAATTAATGACATGTAGAGACCGCACCTCTGTTGATAAGCAATTGAGCTGCCACAGTCTCCAAAGGGTTAGCGTGCAATACTGAAGGCGAAGGCTGCTCTATCTTCACGTCAAGTTGACTGTTATCTAGACTATCTTGTGGGTCTAGATATATATCGCCCTAATTATTACAAGTTTTATGTGGGCGCATGCCGGAGGCCAGCTTTGCTAAACTTCACACTTAGTTCATATTTTTTTCCTTGAGTATGAACACTAGAGGGCATAACAGCATATGAAGTCAAGTGATCAAAGCCATAGCGCCGGATGTCCACAGACACAAAATAAGCTTGCTCGAGGTAAGCATGGTCATACTACATCTGGCCAGACCTCTTCCGGCTTAACCTCTTCAGGCCTAACCTACACAAATTGCAACATTTCTCCACCCAAAACAAACCTGAGCGGACCTAAGCTAACCTCATAGGTTAAAGGAGGTTAGAAAGACGGTCCAAATGTGCCTGTTAGAGTCAGTCATTGGATGCAAGAAGCTTGTGAGCGAGGACAGCGTGAATAGGTTAGGCCATAAGAGGATAAGCCAGAGTAGGTACAGCCGCAGGAGGAGCTGCCTGCTTATGAGCGAGCATGCTTAACCATTGGCTAAAGACCAAAGGCGCTAGTATTTTTCAGCAGTGTATCGCTTGTCTGGATTACAGAGTTCAAGCGTAGTTTTCGGCTTCTAGCTCTGAGGCTGAGTAAAATTAATGCATTGTGAAGATGGACGTTGGCTCAAACGCTTATTTAAGAGTAAGATTTGCGGCCTACGGCAGAGCCCCCGTTATATGACGATTGTCAGTGAAATTAAAATCGTACACACACAAAAGACATGTTCGTTCATGGACATCATTTTGATGAAGTCCAGTGGTCTATTATGTTCATAAAATGAAAACATTGAAAAATACATAGATTCGTCAACCCCTGTGTCCTAAAAAATGTCAGAATGTTTATGCCTAATAGAAGGTTTCGCATTTCCTCCTCTTGTCTAGCGGAACCTGATAAGATAAGGAAGAAATTGAATATACCGTGCTGAAACGTAACACAAACTTGTTGTTAGAATTAGAAACAAAGGTTTTCCAAGAAGTAATTTTTATTTAGCGAACGAATTCCCAGATCCTGTTGTCCCAGATTCAAGTGAAGCTTGTTGACAATCAGTCCGAAAACAAGGTCAAACAGCTTAGTCGACTTGGTACAGGTTTGTCGTAACAGACGTGAATACTAGACCCAACTTAACTGTAAAGTAAATTAATAAAGTCTTAAGATTCCAGCTAACGAAAGTCATTTCATATGGCTGTCAGATATTTCAATACTGGACATTCAACAAATAATGAAGCAATAAACCACACACCTCTGAAACAGGTAAGTAGCGAAATTATAGTTAAGTTGTCGCGGTCTCGAGCCAAAAAAGGATGCAGACCGACACCACCAGAGTTCTGGTTATTCTATGGGAAGAAAGATACCATATAGTGAGAAACGCATGTAAACAAGCGAGTAACAATTATATTGAGCAATGTTCAATTTATATCGCACTGTCTCGCAAGTTTATAGCAACCTCTTGAACACACCTTAAAATCTTTGCGACTAAGCGGTTTGACAATTTTAAGAGACAAATAAGAGGCCATATACAGGGAAAATTGTGATAGTAGAAGGAAATGCAGACTCAGAAGCATTCATGAATTTAACTTTAAGAAGAACCCGGTTCTTCAATCTAGGTAGGACTATATATACATTTAGATATGAATTTAACTTCAAGTTCATTATAAGCCTAAGGCCAAGGTGGTTATACCACAGTAGAGGGCAAATGCCCAAGTTTATGTCGGTGTCTGCCTCCTAAATAAAGTAAGAGCGAACATGCATTTTAACTTGAATAAACATAATGAAAACTGAGAGTGAACATTCTAACAAAAAAAAAAGAATTAAGAAGGCATGGCGTTAATTAAAGACTGCCAAAGCGCGTCCATGAAGATAGGTGCTTTCACCATCAAGTTACAATGCCAACCTCTCTAGTTACAAATTCATACCCAACAATAGGTATGAAGAAAAAGAATCAAAGATGTTACAATTTAAGAACGACGGAAATTTCCAACATTGTGTGTTAAACTTCATAAATGGGCAGTGTGTCGATACATAATTTGAAGTATACTTCTCACAAAGGGACAAGACTTATTAGCTCATATCTGATGCAGATAACAACTTGATTTTAGTGATCAAACTCACATGCCTAAATCTCATAGAAGATTCAAAAAAATTTGAAATGCATGACTAGAATACATTTTATGAAGCTATTCAACATTTTATCAGCATCATGTAGCGAACTCGTATAGAATCATGAGTCAGGCTCTACAGTGTCTTGTGCTGTTTTGTAGTACTCGTGAACTTTCATGATCAAATTTTTGCATCACGATGTGCATGTAACAACACGATGCATATCAGCGCAGATAGCATCACGATACGCTTGTAACATCACGATGCACATGTTGAACATCGCGAAGTCTCCAGTCATTTGCCTTTTTCGTGACAGAGATAATGGGCGAATATCAGGGTGAGCTTGTTTCTTCGATAATGCCGTATGTTAGCATGTCATTAACAACATCGTCAAGCTTACTTCGATGAGAATGTGCCTTTTTGTACTGCTTGATGTATTGTATATAACATCGTTTTTATGTACTTCTTTTAAGTTGATATCATGATTAATTAAATGCGTCAGTGTCAAGGAAATTCACCAGGCATGGCAACAGCTACCAATTCCCATTGGTCCGCTAAGCCACGTCATCGGCTACATAGCTAATTAGCAGCGGCAGGTATCGACTATTATTCAATGTCTCTTTTGAACTCGTGGAAGGTGGATCGCGCGCAGCTAACCTTCCACTTTCGGTAAGTCCTAGTTTAGGTTCCCAGTAGTTAACCTGCCACAAGCGTCGTTGCCAATATATCCAGTTAGATGAGCACTTACGTTAGTATGATCAATACTTAGTTCACGTGTGTTTGCCTTGGCTCCTCTTAATTCTCATGCCTCCCAATTAAACTCGGAATATGTTCCAGACCGGCGATTGCCAATCCTATGCATTCTACGACAGATAGACCCACTGACTAGCCACCAGAGGGCTACTCAGCCACGAGTAACACGTACTGGCTCCTCCTACCTGGCGCTCTAGCGCCAGGTAGGAGGCCTTGCCTTACCTGCATCCTGGGGCCTTGCCTGCATCCTGGGGCCTTGCCTGCATCCTGGGGCCTTGCCTGCATCCTGGGGCCTTGTCTGCATCCTGGGGCCTTGCCTGCATCCTGGGGCCTTGCCTGCGTCCTGGAGCCTTGTCTGCATCCTGGGGCCTTGCCTGCATCCTGGAGCCTTGCCTGCATCCTGAGGCCTTGTCTGCATCCTGGGGCGTTGTCTGCCTCCTGGAGCCTTGCCTGTATTCTAGGACCTTGTCTGCATCCTGGGGCCTTGCCTACATCCTGGGGCCTTGCCTGCATCCTGGGGCCTTTCCTGCATCCTTGGGCCTTACATGCATCCTGGGCCTTACCTGCGTCCTGGGCTTTACCTGCACCCTGGGCCTTACCTGCATCCCGGAGCCCTACCTGCATCTGGGCCTTCCCTTAGTTGTCCAATTTAGTTCCGTAACATTAAATGTATGTCTAGGAGTCCATCGAGTTTGTCGCATACCTTGGCAAGGTTCGCTTGCTTTCGGGCGGCGGTTGACCCATTGGCTGGACTAACTCTGAAACCCTAACTGTGACCTTCCAAGCTTCACTTGGATCACAAGTCCTGGTCCTGATTCCTTTACAGTTAGTCCCAGGGTTTCTCCCTTGAGTGCAATTGCGTCACGATGACAGCAGAGCATTGATAATAGTCTAAGGGACATATTAGTTTTCGCTGTTGTATTTGCGTTTTCGTAAATACACAGAATTCAGAAATATCTGAACGTTCATGAGGTAGATTATTTATGCAGTTAATTGTAAACGTTCATGAGGTAGATTGTTTATGCAGTTAATGGTGAACTTTCATGAGGTAGATTATTTATGCAGTTAATGGTGAACGTTCATGAAGTAGATTATTTATGCAGTTAATTGTTAACGTTCATGAGGTAGATTATTTATGCAGTTAATGGTGAACGTTCATGAAGTAGATTATTTATGCANAACATTTTATTTGTATATAGTCAGTTTTAGTAAATATACACGTTTCATTTTGTACATAGTCAGCTTTATTAATTACACATTTTATGTACTCAGTTTATACGATATAATCATTTAATTCATACCTCGATAGCTGTGGTCACGAAGGTATGTTATTCCTCTACCGCAGATGCTCACTCGAAGCTGATACTGACCTGAGACTAGTATGTTAGTCTAACTAGTGGTTTGGGCGGCCGGCACACAGTCGATCCGACCTGAACTAGGACTGCGTGCACTAATTAGATCTAACGTACTAGTCACAAGTCAGATTCAGTTTCGAGTGAGCGTCTGCGGTAAAGAAACGACGTACTTCCGCGACCACAGCTCGGGATGAGGATTGGGAAACTATGGGCAGTGAAGACTGTAAAAATTATAGCGAGAACTATGAAGTGCATACAATCATCAGCTGAACTATCAGTTGATTTCTATAGATAGTTCCTGGAAACACAGAGTCGCGACGAAAGAAGTAAAGTTAACTTGGGTGCAACGTGAGAAAATGTTTAATCTGTGACAGAGTTTGCCAGAGCTTCACCTTCATTACCGTAAAACCCGTTTGATTTTGCCTTCGACGTATCGAATTAATTTCTAACTACAAAGCGACATTTCGCAATTCATTGTTTTAGATTTTTATATCGAAGACGGCTTATGCTGAGATTATATGATTTCTAAGAAAAGTCTACAAAGCCAAAGTTTATTGTTAGTCTTATCTTTCACAGCAAAAGCTTCGGCAAGCTTTATTGAATTCAATATCTGAGCTGCTGTCGACAGTTTTTTTAATGAAAACTTTTTTTTTTATAATATTGCAACTATTTAAATATTATCTTAGATGATTTATGCACATGGAAAATACGAATTAAATTTTACTTATTTCTTGATTATTTATTACACACATACAGTGACTTTCAGAAAGTACGGTATGGATGCATATTATACCATTACTTACTCCAATATATATTATAGCTGGAATAGAGTCTACACAGTCAATACTAATAATTCATTGTTTAAATGAATGAAGAAACTATAATATTTAATAAATATCTAATTTCGATGAACACCACACAGAAAAATAGCTCCATTACTTATGAGCCTAAATCTATTGTAGTGGGTATAATGGCATCCCTTACGTTCAATGATCAGTAAAACCGTTTTATTAAAAAGTTACATTCCACGACAATCACGTTGACACTTTTCTATACATAAGAAACGTAATTAAGGATCACTTTAATGAACGACAACGATCAAACTACACTGAGACAAGTTTCACTTTATTGTGAAAAAAACGTTCTCTCAAAGATTCATGTAATTCTGCTTTTCATAAATAAAATATTCACAATACATATATAATCCATATTAACCTAATATTTTAATAATAAAACATTCTTGAATCTAAATCTCTACAGTCTACACTATTAACTCGTAAGTTTATTACCACTAAGTAGTTAACCATTTTATGCTTAATTCATAAACATTTCACTAATATATCGCTTTCAACAAAGAAAAGCGTCACTATTAATTCAAAAACAAATTACCATTAGCTGGCAAATATATAACCAATTCTGAAATGGCTAATAGTGACATGGAGAGAGGCAAGAAGAATATTTTATGAACCCGGAATATTTTATTATACTGCACCAAATGTGCGACATATCTTAGCATGTCGGTAAGGTTTGAAACGTACCTGATTGTCGTCGAATAAACTCGTAAACGAATTACCTCTAATAAAATAATTTAGAATGCATTTATGACATGTCTTATAAATTCATATAACGCTAAAAGAATAGAATACGACAGTCTTGATTTTATTTCATGATGTACTTAAAAGAATAGATTTAGGAATTGTTTCACAATTTTTCCTCACGAAGCTTCTACATTTATGCAGCTAAGGCAATTTTTTCACTATTTCGCAAGGAAATATTGATTAATAGTTTGATGATAGTGCAGGTAAAATTGAGCACTAAATTAAGATTTTTTTACAAGTCATGAAAATAGTCATGCTTTTAATCTCAATTTTACGTTCAATTCAACTTTTAAAACTTTTTGGGATGGCTATAAATTTAGGTTATAGGTCTGAACTTGATGAAATATCTAATGTTCCGGACTCGTCAAAACTCGTCTTATTCAAGAAAAACTATACACATTTACAATCATAAGTAAGTGATTAAGTAGTAGTACAAATGTAGAAGAAAATGAGCTTCTGAATGAGCTTAAAATGTGTAACTATACTCATTTTAATTTCTATATAGTCTGTTTAACAAATATTCACATTTCATTTTGTATATGGCCAGTTTTAGTTACTGTACATATTTCACTTTTATATAGTCAGTTTTAGTAAATATTCAAATTTTATTTTTATGTAGTCACCTTTCGTAACTACACACATTTTACTTTTTGTATAGTCAATTTTAGTAGCTAAATATACACATTTTATTTTGTATATAGTCAGTTTTAGCAAATATAAACATTTTATTTTGCAACTAGTTAGTTTTAGTAAATTTAAACAATTTATTTATATATAGTCAGTTTTAGTAAATATATACGTTTCATTTTGTATATAGTCAGCTTTAGTAATTACACATTTTATGTACTCAGTTTATACGATATAATCATTTAATTAATACCTCGATAGATAGATGTGATCACGGAGGTATGTTATTCCTCTACCGCAGATGCTCACTCGAAGCTGTAGCTGACCTGAGACTAGTATGTTAGATCTAACTAGTGGTTTGGGCGGCGCACACAGTCCGACCTGAACTAGGACTGCTTGCACTAATTAGATCTAACGTAATACTAGTCCCAGGTCAGCTTCAGTTTCGAGTGAGCGTCTGCGGTAGAGGAATGACGTACTTCCGCGACCACAGCTCGGGATGAGGATTGGGAAACTATGGGCAGTGAAGACTGTAAAAATTATAGCGAGAACTATGGAGTGCATACAATCATCAGCTGAACGATCAGTTGATTTCTANCATATAAGAAACATGTTTCTCATATTCCGAATGATGTTCCTTGTGAGTATTTGCCTCAAATGCTTGAGCGACGCTAAAGCCAGACATTTTTTGAGGCCGTACGCAACCTCATAAATGATAAACCAATTTTTAAATGTGGAAAAATTATTAAAGTGGATGGATACCTTGATCCACCTTGAACCTCCTCATACGAACTGATCTGCCAATACTGATTTGCCAGCCGATATGATGAGACTGATAATAGTGACTTTCTTGAATGCTATTTCAGGAATTGAAAATCATTACATTCTAAAACGTTATTCATTTATGAAATATTGTTCAATCGTATTTTAGTGATATTATTACTAAATATAATCTAATATAATTATTTTATCTTGACCTGTAAACAAGATAATCCCTAGATTTGAAGCAAAAAACAATTACCATGGAGTTCAAATTGATGCAACAACATTAGGCCGAAATTTCATTTGCCAGAAGTTTTTCGCTAATAGGTCTCTCAACGCTAATTTGGTCTCTCAGCGCTAATTAAGATCATCAGCGCTAATTAGGACTCTCAACGCTAATTACGTCTCTCAACGCTAATTTAAAATTTAGGGCAGGGAATAGAGCCGGCCTTCGCCACCCATAGGGTCGACGTAGAGACGCGACAGAGCCGCGATAGAGCAGAAATGCCCGCATTAGAGACGATCTTGCCACCCGCGGAGCAGCGCTAATTAACCTCTGAGCACCTGCCCCGGCGAGCTCTTACCTGCGGCCTCGCTGCTCTCATGCACCGCGCACCTCCGGCCTGAATGTGCTAATTACTTGTTCCATTCCTGCTCTGCCTGCTCTAACCTGCTCAGCACTAGCGCTGAGTTGGCTTTGGTAGCGCACGGCCGTCCCTGATTTTTCATACAAAAAAGTAGCCCATATGCTATATATAACCTCTGGCTATATATATACTTGACCTAACCTCAGTAAAACGGTCTCTAGCAACCTAAGGAAGGGTTTTAGACATACCTAACCCTAACTCTAACCCTAACCTAACGAGGTTGGCGTTTTTTTGGTGTCCGGTAATGTAGTTCATTTATTTTCGTGTCTGGTTTTTAAGTACAAACTAATTGCAGAGTTAATTACCGGACTCGATTTTGTCCGGTTTTGTACCCCCTGTCCGGTAATGTTACCAATTTTGTCCGGTAATTGTTGCAAATTTGCAAATAACTATTTTAGTTATTATTTGCTATTTGCAGATAAATTCTTTAAAAGTCCGACGAAAATATTTTCTCAATATTTTTCTCATTTTGTCTCTCATAGTTGAGGTCTACTTATGATGTCAGTTACAGGTCTCTCTCATCTTTTTAAGGTGGAAAACCTGCACAATTGGCGACTAACTTAATAATTACTTCCCCACTGTAATTGTAAACGTTCATGAAGTAGATTATTTATGCAGTTAATGTTGAACGTTCA